ATCAGAAACAAATAAAATAAAATAAAATAAATAATTAGACTAGTGGAACGGCCGCACCACCAGCCTGGGGGGGTAGCCTCCCACTACATACATGGAGGCAGGTCGACGGCCAAAGGAAGGGGCGGGGGTACGTGCCAGTAAAAAAACAAAATCTGTGTTGTCAATTTTTTTCGTTTTTTTTCTGACTTTCCGTGTTGGTTTTGTGTGATGACATCGTCACCGGTTTTGTAGAGAGACCCGTCAGAGATGGCGTGGCTAACCCGGGTGCATTGGTTTTGTGCCTGATCGTGGAAGACCCCTTCAATGTTGAACGATTCTTAGCTAGTGTCGANCCGTCAGAGATGGCGTGGCTAACCCGGGTGCATTGGTTTTGTGCCTGATCGTGGAAGACCCCTTCAATGTGGAACGATTCTTAGCTAGTGTCGATATTTTTCACTGCAGTGCCTAACACAGACGATCGGGAGAGATTCGGGTGATTGTCAATTGCTGCTATGATGGCTTTGGTTGGTTGTTCTTTTTCACTGTACGGCCGCAGACACATTCTGACAGCACTTCAGACAGCAGCTTTGTGCCCCGCCAGCTGCTTGTTCTATGCCTACCATCCATGCATGGTGTTTTTGTACAGACAGCACTTCAGACAGCAGTCAGTATGCTGTAGTCGGCAATCTTCCGTTTTGGTATAGGGTGGGACAGGGAGGGGGTGATGCTACTGTAGTCGAACGGTGGGACGGATCTTCCGTTTTGGTATAGAGTGGGACAGGGAGGGGGTGATGCTACTTGTGGTCGAACGGTGGGACGGACGTGCAGTTCAGTTTTTGGGCACGCATACGGTGCTGCAGGGATTTTTAGTTGTTGTACCTCTTCGGGCTCTTGGATACCTTTTTCTCGTTACATGTGTGCGTGTTCTTTAGATCCTCAGATGGCTCTAGCACTTTCGTGACCATGGGCTGAGAGTCTTTTGCTAGATTTTGGCATTTAGCAACTGACATACGGTTTAACGTGAAGACAACAACAACAACAACAACATAGAGAGAGATGGATTTGTTGTGTGAAATAATAAGAAAAAAAATGCCCTCTTTCGCTGGGGGGAGCAGGAAAGCACCTCCCTTTATCCAGATACCGATATTAGAGGGTAGGGCAGTGAGAGAGTCTGGGCAGTCCCTACGCTTTACTGCGAAAGGTAGGCGTGCACGCTACTGCTAAAGGTAGGCGTGCAGGGCTGCCACAGCAGCAGTGCACGTAGAACGGCGGTTATTGTGTGAGGTCCTTTTTTTTAGAAAACGCCTCCTTCCCTTTTACCACATACCCGGCCCCGGAGCGGTGGGACACGGCAAAGGGTATACTGCTGTAGTAGGACGTAGCACGAGAGGTAAGCATAGACACTACACCTACCCATAGACACTTGCACCACTGTAGAGACGACGGGAGGTTTCACGATTGTTCTTCCAGTGATCACAGGCGTCCTTTTTATTGCCGGGCGCTGGTGGCCGTGATTTTGGCTGCCTCGCGAATTGTGGCGATGGCTGATCCCCCATCCGACTTGTCGGAGACTAGGATGGAGCTTCGAGCCGTCTCAAGCAAGCTTTCCTCCTGCGAGCAAGCTCTCGAGGGGCATGGCGCCTACTTGGGCATAAGGGATCCGGTGAGACAGAGGGGCTTGTTCTAGGTTTAAGGACAAAAGCAAATGTCAGGTTGGTTGCACCACGGGCCATCAAGTGCGGGCTAGTCTACCATCGTGACAGCGAGGTGGCATGTTTATATTGGCCGGCCAAAGGGAAAGCGGCAGGACGGACAGCTGAGAGGGGGGG